TCTGCAGTCCGCGCGCCCCGTCTTCCCCAAGGTGCGCGGTTGTCTGGTCGTCGTCTCTGCCGACGCCGGGCCAGGGCAGGGCTCCGCGTTTCCTCCCATTTATTAATTCAGAAGGTTTCACCCATTACTCCGGGACTGCCCTGTTGCCATATGTGCAGGACGCACCGTGTAGACATAAAATAATTACATTGCAGGTCTATCGGACGCAGTTCTAGGATTGAGATTCGGGGTGTTCGTGACCCAACAATGTGACAATCAAGGCCTTTGGGAGTTTACTTAAAATTCCTACATGCAATCCAGTAATATTTCGGGCCAATCCAATTTTTGTGAAGTTGGATTGGGTATTATCCGCAGTGGTGCTCTTTCCAGCGACCCGGAGGGCATCTTGTGATATGATATCAGTACAACAAATGAGGCGAAATGGAGCTGTTCTGCCATTCGAAATGGATTGTTTACATTGGAACGTTTGTTACTACGGCGACAAACGACGGATAATATTTACACTTTGAAGTAAATGGGTTTGTTCTTCACTCTTATTTACATTCCCTCATCCAAGCCCCACATCTGGAGGACGTTCACTTTGATATTTGGGGAAATGACTGTTATTTTACTTAAAGATTCACACGTTTTCCAGTCTTGGCCCAGTTAAAAGCACATCACAAGGAAAGTTTCATTTCATACAACAAAATTTATTGGTCTGCACAAGGACTAGTATTATGACGTTATGTGGAAATGGATGTTTTACATGGAATAGAGAGTACAAAGTTGAATAACAACTATAAATTTTCCTCTAAGCATGCAAGCAGTTTTATTGTTTTATTTTTGTTTTGTTGTCCTCACGGAGGATATTTTTCCATTGCTTTTTTTTTCTTCCTTTTTTAGAGGGAGTTGGGAGAGGGAAAGATCGATGTGAGAGAAACACATCGATTGGTTGCCTCGGAACCTGCAAACAAGGTATGGGTGCCCTTCACCAGAATCGAACCCAGGACCCTTTAGTCCTCAGGCCGAGGCTCTATCCACTGAACCAAACCAGCTAGGACCATGCAAGCAGTTTTAAAGTACAACAGCAAGAGAGAGAGAGGTTCTCTTAATGCTTGCATTCATTGGCTCTTGACTGAGTAGTGTTTATATGAACTTAAGGTTAGAAATCATTTATTCCTTCCAACGACAATCAAGCTGGAATTTGGACATGGTTATCTTTTCTAAAAGTCAGGATACTATCTGAATAATGATTGCTCTCATATTTCATGGACTTTACAGACACTTAAAACAGAAAGACATCTTACTCATTCAACAAGAAATATTTAATGAGTGCCGCCTACCATGTTCTAGCTACTGTTCTATGCCCTGGGGATATAGTAGCAAATAAGGAGTTTACATTACATAAGACATTTAATTTACCCCTTTGGGTAAGAAGTCAGAAAATATTTATTAGCTTTATAAAATTATAAAAAGATATTCCTTTAGATTTACAGTGGTTCTCAACCTTCTGGCCCTTTAAATACAGTTCCTCATGTTGTGACCCAACAATAAAATTATTTTCGTTGCTACTTAAATGTAATATTGCTACTGTTATGAATCGTAATGTAAATATCTGATATGCAGGATGGTCTTAGGCGACCCCTGTGAAAGGGTCGTTCGACCGCCAAAGGGGTCGCGACCCACAGGTTGAGAACCGCTGCTTTAGAAAACAGTGAATGACTTCACTGTTTTCTTAACAAGGTTAGAAGACCAATAGCTAAAAGAATGAACTGTGATCATGCATTTGAAATACATATACCACTAAGGAAAAGTGTTTAATTTTGAAGATACATTGAAGAATCTTGGTTGTTTCAGTTGCTCTTTGGAGTGTAGATAAATATATTTTTCTAAAATGATATTTCTAGTTTAACTGAAGATGCTCAAACCTAAGGGAGTAAAAGATAAGAGATAAATATATAATTATGTTTTGAGCTGCTTAAAAAATAAATCAACACATTCATTTCAAACTTGAAATGCCCTTTATCTTTTCTACTTTGGATTTACAAGATTTTGCCTTGCAAGAAAATGTAATACTGAGAACTACATTTTTTGTTGTCATTTAAGGACTAAGAAATGGCATTCATGATATTTTGGAATGATTTCTTTTAATACACTTCCTTGTTCTGACCTAGATTAGGGAGGGGGTCATTTCAAATGAACAAGATTCTCCTTTTTGGTATATAATCTTCCCAGTCACTTTTACTTTACCTTAATATTCAACCTGCAAAAGAAGTCATATTTTTAACAATCGTTAAATAATGAATTATGTTTGTAACTGTTTTGCTTCCCCCTCAAATTAAGAAAAGGTAGAATTGCTGCAAGTCAAAGGCTGAACCCATTGCATGACCAGTTTTCTTAAGACAGATACATTGTTAATTTAAAAGTCATGATTTCTATGACCAGTTCAAACACTGCAGCTATCCAGATTGTGTGCAGGATTTGGTCTGCAATGTTATTAAATCTGTTTTCAAAACCTCCAGTTTTTCCCTTGAATTCTGTGTTCTCACAGATTGCAATCAAGCCTTTTGTTCATTTTCTTATTTTACTGGCACACCTAATAATTGGATTAGAGCTTCCTCTATCAGGTATTTTTTTAAAATGCATCTGGCATGTTTTATACTTTTTTTTTTAAGTTATTGATTTCAGAGAGGAAGGGAGAGAGAGAAACATTAACGATGACAGAGAATTATTGATCGGTTGCTTCCAGCATGCCCCACACTGGGGAACAAGTCTGCAATCCGGGCCGAGCGGGAATCCAACCGTGACCTCCTGGTTCATAGGTCGATGCTCAACCATTGAGCCTGCAGGCCGGGCTTTATCAGGTATTTTACCACCCAAATTTCTTCCCAGATGCACAACAGGTGGATTTCATCAGATTAATTCAGCAACCCTTTTCTGAATTTAGTGCTGGTACAGATTCAAAAGACTTTACAATCTAAAAAGTACTCAGGGAGAGAAATATGCACATTGTACTAGAAACAAGAGTCATTACAAAATAACACCAAGGTAAGGATGCAGGCAGTGAGGAGAGGATAATACTCCAGGAGAACTCTGAGTAGTCAGGGAGCACCGCTTAGCTTTGATGTCGTGGTCTCCTAATTCACAACAGGTTCTAACATTTTAGTGTTATGCATAGAACATAATTTACATTAGGGTACAGTTCAGCTTGAAACAGTTAGACTCCAAGGATCTAAAAAAAATTTTTTTAATGCTTTAGGAACATACTGATTTGTCTTTCAATAGAATTAACAAAACAACCCCCCCCCCCGCCAAAGAAAGAAATCTCCGTGCTCTTTAAGGACCGCAAGAGCAAAGATTTCTGTGTGTTTATTTTTGTAACACTGTTTTGCAAGATATTAATAGGGGCACGTTTGTCGAGATAATTTGAAAGTAACTTCAAGTGAATCCGCCTTTAAAAAGTCCCACTGAAACCGCAATTCAGAATGTTTTTGTTCTTGAGAGACTAGATGATCCTTTAACCTTAAAATGAATCCCAAGCAGACGTTTCCTACCACGTGTACTGGTACTTGGTGAAGGGGTGCTTTCCTAGCTTTGGTCTTCCACCCGGAGACTGAGACAGGGTGTGTTGGGGATGCAAACATGCTCCGGGTGAGCGCGTCTATTGAGGGGCAAACCTGTGTCCACGTAGGGCTGCAAACGTGCTTCGCGAACACGCGAGAACCGGCGGCCGGTCCGGTACTGTGAACTCCGGCTCCCAGAGCCTTCCCGCGCCCGGGTTCATACCACGTCCGCGATCTGCGCAGATAAGGAGGCGTCCCTTCCCCGGGGCGGCCCGGGCACCGACTCCGTTCCCCGGCGCCCCTT